CTCCTCAAATACTTTGGCATAACACTCACAAACTCAGGCTTAGGAAACAACAGGCTGTTTCATTTACTCAGCAATTTGTAGCCACATATTCCTGCTGATAGGCCCATAAACCTGTTTGTAGTCATCTTCTGTTTCCCTTCAAGTTTGTGTCATTAGAAACCACAATTACTGTCTGTCCAAAGAGAATACTTTTCAGGAAAGAAAATAAAATTGAGATACTGTGATCCCTTTCCTCTTTGTCTAGCTCTCCTTTTCAACTTCTCTTTTGGAGGAGAAAGCACAACACAATGGCTGAGGTCAGGAAAACGGGCTTATGGAGAAAATATTTGTGAATTCTTAGATTTTGCAACAAGGGCATTACTTTTTTAAGGCACAACTTTTTTGGTAGAACTAAGTGAAAAGTGAAAAATTAAGCCAAGGCCTTAAACAATTAATAAAGAATGACACAAAAAATGTATTCTGCTTCAGCCAAAAAATATTGCACTAAATATATGTAATTTTGAGATCCTTACATCAAGTATAACATATTATGTATCTGCTATCCAAAGAATCTCAATAAATTACCCAAGCCTTTTAAAGTCACTCACAAGATGTGTCTCACATCTTCCCTCAGGAAGAACAGAGTTCTGTGAAATGCGACACAACATGAGCTTCTTACTTTTGCATCTTGAGATAGAAAAAGCAGGTTGGAATCTCCCAAACCAAGTTTTTGCCAGTTTGCCGCTGTTTCACCAAAATGAGGAAGTACATTCACAGCATTAAATCACTGCGAAAACCAAAGGAAAATCAGAATCCAGCATAGAGAACTGAGGGTTCTTTGTAGTGTGTGTCATGATATAACACAATATGGGTGGAACAATCCACTTGGCTCCACTAAATTAACTTTGTTTTAGCAGCATCCCACAGCTGAGGTGCTCTCATGTGCCATTCCTGCTTCTGTCATTGCGGCTAGATGAAAGTTAAAGAAAACATCATCAGCTGGAGATTCGTCACTTCTTGATACTTTCGGCATTACAAGAAATCAAAGAAAGAAGACCATGACAGTGCTAATTCAGAGCACTCCATGACTCTCTTTAATTTTCCTTCATCTTTAATAATTCCTTTAATTTTTTCCCATTCTTGCCATTGCAAAAAACTCAAAGCAAACATCAGCAGATTAGTGAGTTAGTTTCCAATAGCAATTTATGTTAAATCCCTGCTGGCATCTGTCAAAGGTGTGCCCAGGTACCCATCCCCTAGCTCCCTACACCGTCTCCACCAACAGTTAATACCAAAGCTCCGAACTTCTGCTCCCGCAGCAGCCTGCCAGAGCTGTTCACGTGCAGCCTTTGCATGCAACAGCACACGTAACCTGCACTGAAAATCATCCATGACACAGGGGTAAACTCTAAAACAGAGTTCCCGGGACACCTTTTCAATGAGTTTCAAAGAATAACCGGCTGTATGTCTTAAGCTTCCTGACATGCATCTCAATACTTCCACACAGGTGTACCTGTACACCTGTATAGAAGTGTCCTTCTCAGTCCCAGAGCTAGAATTAAGAAAGATAATTCAGAAAAACCCCACAGTCCTTATGTGCACCTACTGCTCACCTAGTTGGTGCTCACATCATAGGAAGTATCTAGCAATCAATGCACAAAACACCAACTAATAAGAAGAGTGTTATTATTTGTACAACAAATATATGTGTGTGTATATACATGTATATATATAAGCAATCCTTTCAGCATTAAGAAACATCTTTGAAAACTTCAGCTCATACACTGAGATCAAAAGAGGTAGTTTCCCTGGTCTATAGCCATCTACAAATCAGGTGGCTCGTTGAAGCCAGTCATCTAGGCTCCTTCTCCAGTCAAGCAAGAGAGATAAGTGCCTTCAGATTGCCATCATCCCATTCTAGGATAGGTGAGTAAAACAGGTGAGATGAATCACCCTGGCACTGTTATCGGCCATGGGGGAAGGGGACATCTCAGATCACTAGCTTAGGAGAGATAATTAACTTTTAGCAGCTAATGTTAAGAGAAATCCCATGCTACAAGATTAGGGAGGATTATGCAGACTCACACACTTGTCAAAAATTTGCCTTATATTTGGTCTTACAAAGAAATTAAAACTTTAAATTTCCCACCAAAAAAAAAAAAAAATCTTACAGTCTCCATCATCCAAGCTGCAGATCACTGTATCTATAATAGTCAAAGTGTTTGGGGGGGTTTTGTTTTCCTGAAGAAATAAGGTTCACATTATTCTGGTTTCCCAAGCAAATGAGGTTCGCATTCTGAATGTTCAGAAATTATGTGTTGCAAACCTATTAGTTGATTTCATTTAAATATGACATATGTATAAAAATATATAAAAATCTTCAACATTCTGTGGGAGCATGTTACCAAGTAAAAGACAGATCTGTCAGTCCTGGCTGAAGGGGAAAGGCAGGAACACAGCATCACCCCAGAGACCAGAGATGAAGCCATAAGAGCCATCCTGAGGCACAAACCCAGAAGAGGAACTTCTCTGCTTTGTTTGACTGCTCTGATTCATCCAACACCTCAGTGTCAATTACAGACAATAGTTTTCCACATCTGTTGTTCTTCATCAAGATTTCTGTTTAGATTTAGCATTATATTCACACAAAGAATAAGAACAGTTTTTGTTAGTAATAACTGCCAGTAGTACCTCTTGCAGTACTAAACCAGACAGCAGTTTCTTTTTCTCCATGCTAGCTAAGAATATACTAGTATTGACTTATAAATGTAGGAAAGTCCACACAAAAAAAAAACAACTCAGAATAAAAAATGCTCAAACCTAATGGGCACAGCTTACAAGTTGATTTAAACCACCAATATTTACTTCAAATAGGAAATGATATTTAATACTTTGATGAGATTCACACCTGGCATTTTTTGCAAGTCTAGCTGTCAAAGGAATTGAAAAATTCAGGCTTGTGCTGGTAACATACACAATCTTCTGTCACCAAGTGCTCATTTTCTCCCTGTGTGGGAAAGAAAATGTGCTGTTGCACAATCCCCGAATGAACTAAACTCAAACAATAGGTTGATAAAGGGGCAGACAGTGTGTTTAGTGTTTTTTTCTGTTAATTTCCTGCTGTCTTAGCCTTAGCATCTTCCTTTCTCATGTCAGTTATTGACAAAATGGAGGGGAGAAAGCATAAAAATGTGGTTGAGCGCCTGATTGAAAGTGGCTATTAAATTCTAGAACTCAGAGCCGGGTCCTACAAAGCAAGCAAAATGTGGATATGAGATTTGCCTTTCACTTCATTGTTGTGGCTGTTTGAAAGATTCACAGATACCTACCTGCACTATACTGATATTTGGGTGTTAGTAACTGCTATGGTCATAACTGAAATACTGGCCTGCATGCAGTATTTCACGTTTTGTGCTCTTTTAAATATAGCTATAAACCTGTCATGCAAATAATATTGAAATCTAAAATGCTTGAGGAGAGGAGGAACAGTGTTAATTTTCTTGTTAGTTTACAACCATTTCACCTGCCTTATCCCCGAGTCTGATGATGCATTCCAGCAATGCAAGCACGGGAAGAATAGAAAGATGTGAAAGGACCGTAAAGCATAAGCGCCAGGAGACACCACTGAGATCAACAGGTCACACTAGAGTTTTATAGCCCCAGTTTCCAATGACACTAGCTCACAGACTGTCAAAGCCTAGGCATTTGCAGGCAACAAGCACAGCAAAACAGCATCTATGCTGTATACGCCTACTTGCTTCTTTTATATATCACATATATACATTCCTACGCAAAGCAGCTATGAGATTTAGGTTCAGAAAGGTAGTAAACTTGAAGCATTAAAGCACATTTAAAAGCCTTGCTTCCCTGCAGACTTACTCTGTGTGGGGAAAGCAGGTGCTTCTTGCAATGCCCACTACATCCAACAGAAAAATAGACATTGGCAGGTTCTCTGCTAGAGAAGAACCTTGCTCTCAGTTTCCCAGGCAGTCAGTTTTTCCCCTTCCTCCTCAATATTCTCCAAACTATTTCCTTCTGAAGAAAGTGCCTGAGGAAAAACTCAAAAATTACCATCCTTTGCTCCTACAGACTTTCTTTTTTAACACTGCAGACTGGTACAACCAGGCCTATAGTTTGTAGGTTATTTTATTTGCTGAAAATAAATAACTCAAGATTAAAAATGAGTGGTTATTTGCTCATCTATCAATGCATTACATTGATACATGAGCATTGATACAGACACATTACATCTTTACCCAAGCTAAAGATTTTAAGTCCTTATATAGTTTTACAGACTTCATCAGTACAAATGACCCAACAGGACCAAGAGTTTCACACCTCCTAAGTTGCAGTGCAGACACTTTAAAAGCAGTGTAATGAACAGATTCTGGGTGCACATCTCCAGCCACGTTTGTATTTGCACAGCACAGTGGAAGCTGAATCTGCAGAAGGAAAGTCAGAACTGAGGACCCAACATCCAGTCAGGGATTTTTACTTTGGGCTACCTCTAATCTGGATCTATGGCCCAAAACACTCACTAGCATCTGGCATGCATGAGGTGAAGCACATGCTCCATCCATCCATCTGACCTCAACTCCACTCCAATGATGTGAGCTGCCAAGTACCAAGGTGGGACAACTGGAGGCTCACTGCAAAGTGTGTTGCAGGTCTGAACTAATTAATTCTAAAGACTTTCACCACAAAGATATTACTGACTTAATGTATCTCAAGTATTTTCAGTTTAAAATGGTAAGGATGAAGTTGATTTAAAGCAATCACAGTCACTTATTTAAATACACTTACTTTCATGACTACTGCTGTTTTCCTGCTCTATACTCAAACCACTCCATGGCCACCCATGTCCAGGCAGACATAACAGCCAATGAACATGAGTGCAATTAGACATGTACAGGCCCTTTACAACAAGAAAGCTGAGCCGACCTATTCATTCCTACAAACGTGGTATCCTCCACAGATAGATTTTGGGCAGAAAAAAAAAAGTTTGGTTTTTTTTTTTAATTTAATTTTATTTTATTTTATTTCCATGTTAATCTTACTGGCATTGTACCTATGTATACAGCTCATTATGTTAAAATACTCACTTTAAACAAGCTTAAGAGACTGGAAGAGAAGAAAACTTGAGCTGATGTTTCTTTTTAGACCTCGAGGTTCCCATGACACAACTGACAAAGCTACAAAATGCCAACCATTCTGTGTGTGCAGGCCCAGGCAGAAGCAACCTGTGTTCTCAAGTCATCCATGTATTTAACATTAATATACAGTGGGAAACAGCGATGTGGAGGCCCAGAGAAATAATGTGTGAGGTGCTCCTGTAAAAAGGAGCATTAGCATGCTTTTACAAATCTGAAAGGTAACTTAGTAACTGGATAAGGTGACTTTTCCACATAGGCTTCCAGATCCATTGGCACACAAGTGTGGGAACAGCTTGCCTGGAGGCTGCTCATGATGGTTCTGTATCAGGGTTACCAGCAGGCATCAGGCTGCAGGCGATTCAGGGGACGCTTTCACTGGTAACTGCAAAACGGGAAAATGAAGAGTGAACATGTTTCTTAAAAAGATATTTTGAAGAATGACATGTAAAAGTATATTTTTTTTTGCTTTTTGAGCAACAAAGCTATTCGAACATGTTTCTGAAATGTTAAATTAGATTTAAAGGATATAAATAGCTGGTCTTAGTTTAAAAGCACACACTTCAGTTTCCATTGCCAATTGAAGTTTTTCTCAACCCTTAACAGAATTCCCTAGCTTTTTTAAACAATTCCTAACAGTGCCTGAGTCACACTTAAGACTTTGCTAGGCACCAGATAAAACAACATATGCAAGGATGTATCCTATCCCCTCCCCACTGGCAACTCTCACCTTGCTTTAAACCAGTGCCACCCCAGATATGATTCCTATTCTGGCAACAGTTACGCCTTGTGCTCTGCATCCTTCCCCTGTGCACAGGGTACCACAATTCCCGACAACTCATTCAAATGATTCTGGAGACCAGGCCAGGCTGTCAAGCATAACTTTTCCAAACAGCTTGGACCAAGTATAGCTAGGAAATGCACTTTTCCCACAGCCAGTTGACACTGGATTCCCATAACATAAGAGGTTAAAAAATAGTAATAGTCAAGTGATAGTTTGGCTACTAGTGCAAGGAAAAGTATTATAAGACATGTATAAGCTGACAAAAAACTACTTACCACATTTCCAAAATGCAGTGTGAATATAAAGGAGTCACTACTGTACTTGGGAAGTGTTTTTCCTTTTCTGCCTAACAAAATAACAGGGTGTTTCTCCATCTTCCTGGGAAAAGGACAGTGCTTAACTAGCATCAGACTACAGTCTGCAAGACTTTACAACTAGAACAGTTACTGTCTGAGCACCAGGCTGCACTGGTTTAGAAAAAACTTCAACACTGAATTTTAAACTGATACAAACCTCTTAGCTCAATAGTGACATACTAATTCAGCCTAAATCAACCGCTTACTAACATAAGCTAAACAGAAGTAATGTTAAACTGCACCAAATGTTAAATACAAGGTGTTTCCACTGCATTATCTAAATTAGTATTAAATCAACTCGAGTTTTAGAAGTAATTCTGTTGTATATATACAGCACTAAAGTATTCAGAAACAAGTATGCTACTGTTATACATATAAAGAAAACAAAACTTGTAACAGTGAAGCCTTTACAGTCCTTTCATTATAAAGATTTGATAAAATACAAGTGAACATAATCTCCACTCCACATTTCCCTTACCTTTACCTACAGAGAAAAAAACCAACAGATGGTTCAATAGTTTCGGAACTAATATTTTACACAAGTCAAAATTCAGATTCGTATGTCATGATAAAAGCGATTCCCTCTCAATGGTGACAGAGTCACTACAAAAAATAATTCAGTGCAGTGTTCCCCTCTTAAGTATGGAGAAAAGTGTTTCCTTTAGAAGAGGAAATTATCTTAAGGAAGTTGTTTTAAGCTAAATAAAAGTTCAGGATGAAGCCAGCAAAAGGTGTGAAGGATTTCTCTTTGATTTCCCAGCTTGTGTATTTGGGCTCAGACACAGACTACATTTTATGCACATATTAATAGGATGCTAATAAGCCTACAACTCTAACAGAGACCTGTAGAGACAACCCGATATGTGCCACCAGATATACTAGCCGTCTTAAGCAGAAGATTCATTTCCCTCTCATACAAGGAGGGAATCTGACTATGCATTTTTAATCACAATTTCAGACAAAAACATCTGGCAAAGTTAGCCTGGTGTTTCGTTGGAGTGTTTCGCAGTTAAAGTAAGCTTCAGAAGATCAAGGTAGGAGACAACCCTTTTCAGTAACTAGGAGCGGCTTTTGCTCTTCATCAGTAATCTTATATGCAAAATAAGGACACTCAGTTGCGAACCTCCTTAAATTGCTAGGTAAAGAAAACAATCCTGGTATCAAAATCATGGAGCACAGAAATTGGCAGCACGTATTTAAATAACATGCTGCATCTCATGGAAAATGTAGAAAGAGATCCTACCTAGCTGTAAACTTCAGAGATATATCAAAGTTAAATCCTCTACTTTTTTAAATGACACTTGCAAAATTTAGAAAAGCAATAAAAAGAGAAATAACAAGTAGTAGGTAAGAATAATCTCAACCATGCATATATCCTAGATCATAGTTACCTTTAAAATAATAATCCAGAAATTACATCTAGTAGCATTTTAGGAACTAATTTAATCACACATTCAAACAAGTCTTCCATACATCTTCTCCACTCAAAAAACTTTGCTCTTCACCATTTCAACTTCCTTTTTCACATTTCTTAAAAACCAGAAATAGATTAGAACAACGAATAACTTTGCTTTCATCATCAGCCACTAAAAAAAAGTCTTTTGCTTAAGAATGGAATTAAATAAAACTAAACCACAAGTGATTTCTATTTGGATTTGAAATAAAAATCCTGGAAAACAGTGATTGTTCTTAGCCTGTTAACACACAAACACATCCCTTGTATCAACTGTTGGCTTAATGCAATTTAAAAAAACTCATGAGGAGGATTTTTTTGTTGTTGTTGTCATTTAAAAAAGATCTTAATAAATTAAACATTTTACAACTTGTTTTATTTTTTCCCAATATATATTCATATTTTCAGCCTGGTCAATTGGCCAGCATGTATGTAACCAGCCAGTAGTCAAACTATGTCAAATACCTTCTCCTATCCTGGGGAGGTTATCAGCTTTAAATCTAATTCTGTCAGCTCAAGGCTGTACTAGCAATATTTGCTCCACTTGATTTCAGCAGCCAACAAAAGAATGGACAGTTGTCCATCATCAGTTACTCTTACTTGTTAGCTTGAAGAAAGTTTGGCAGCCTTTCTATTTTTAATGCAAAAGCCAATAAATGAGTATAGATAGTTCTGAAATGACAAAGCAGTTCATTAATTTGAATATTGGCTATTACGGGATTCCCCTCCACTTCCCCACCATTTCTACACTGTGAGTTTCATCTCTTCACTTGACCTTCTTCCTAAGACGGCAAAAAGAGCAGAAGCAAAGTGCGACCCAAAGATGCCATATGACTGCACTGCAAGTGATTCAAAATGCCCTTTTATCTATGCAAGCAACTTCAAATAACTCATAAAAATAATCAAGCATATTCTGAAATGAGACACCCTGCACTGCTCCAAAGGGGCTGTTTCTCACAAACATGACTGCAGCCGTCATAGCACCACAGTTTACTTGAAGTTATTATTTTTCAAATCTCATCTGCTCACAGGACCACCTGCTGTATAGAAGGCAAATATGAAGGTCCAGAGCTTCAGGCATTGGATTCTCTTGCAGAGGGAGGAGGACAACTAGAGGACCAACAAAATAGGTACAAACCTTCAGAAAACGGGCAAGGCATAAACCAGAGCTCAATTAACAATACAATAGTAGATATATATACATGCTGGCATCACATTCAAAACAGAAATGCACTACTGGTTGCATTCTGTACTGCAGGCAATGAGATATGAAGAGCATGCGTGCCTGCAGCACTTGGGCAGATGTCCTCCATCACCTTGGGTGTCATTCAGAGAATGTTCCAAAACCATCTTGTCTTCCTGGTTCAAGCACTATCTTTTGAAACCAGTACAGTCTTTATTACCCTCTGCCTAACAGCATCCTTAACCTTATGAAGCCAACCTACATGAGCAAAGTCAAGACAGGTTTTTCTCAATGGCTTGCCAACCATTCTTGTCAACCTTTATGGGCTCAGTTCAAATTCTAATACATGGAACCTGTTAAAAAGAATATGGGAAAAACTGAATCCACTGAAGCAATGGCTGAATGCAACATATTTGGTGTTACAACAATTCACCTAAAATTTCAAAGCAAAAGCTTAGTTTTGAAAAAGGTATGTCTATAGGCTTAAAAACAAAGGTCAGTTGATGCCTATGAAAAGATTATAAATTCTTAGAAGAACCTTGTCTTCAAATTAATGTAATTGACTGAGTTGTTTTCTTTTTTTATTTGCCATAATAATCAAGGTAGATATTTTGAATTTAAGTTTAATTTTCCTAACAAACTAATATTATTATAAGTTTAACATAAGAATGTTACAGAATTAAAAATTTATATCTAAAAATGTCAGAACTTATAATGTTAGCATTTCTTCATTTCTGAAGGTATTTTAAATCATGTTCTACCATTTGTAACTACACTCAAAGCAACAAAGGAGAGGGGGCAGGGTGGGAGAGAATATTACTTCTGATCTTTTAGTAACCATGTAATCACATGTTTAAAACACTCCTAGTCAATAAAACATAGCATGAAAGAGATACTGAAGGCTCATACATTTTCCACCATGTTTATATGTATGTGTTGCATAAAATGCTGCAAAGTATCGTAAGACTATCACACACACAAAAAAAACCCCACAACTAAAAAGACCCCAAAAATATACCCCAACCAAAAACAGATAAAAGAAAAAAATCAATCCTGAAACCCAAACGCTTGACCCAACCTGCTTTCAGAATAAGCACAAGATGTTCCCAAGTGGCCTGTAACATTGCAAGAAATACACTCAGTTTTAGTTTTCAGAAGCAAGCTTCCAAACTCTTTGATTTGGGGTTTGACTACACTGGTAGTGCAGAAAAATACTTCAGGCACCATGGGTGGGCTTTGCTGGAGCAGGAACAGTGAGACAGGATGGCTTTGCTAATGTGTTAATCAAAGAAGAGCCTGTGGCAGCTGTGAGCAACAGAGGAGCCACCTGCACAAAACCATGTTAACAAGGGTAGAAGTACAGTAAATGGCAAGGTTCTGACAAGTAAGTGGCAGGTGAAAAAGGAAGATACTTATTACACACTGGTGATCCAGCATCTGTGGTAGGAATAGAATATGGAAATTCGGGACATACCTGCCATCTTATACAGCACTGTTAAGACTAAGGTATAAAAGCAGAATTGGAAGCCACAGTCTTTGTATTGGCAAAATGGCACCTTTAAGATGTGCCAATAAACTTTTGCAGGTATACCTGCTGCCTCTGCCAGGTCACAGCATGAAGGCTGTGCTTTAATGGGATTCAAGCTGGCAGAGCCTTTTGCCAGTGAAGCCAACCCAGAGTCGTTCTCTAGGGCACAAATATCATCACCCAGGGGACTCTGGACAGGACAGTAACCAGCCTGAGGGACCTACCACCAGAAAACATGAAAAATATCACCACCTAGTGAAAGTCCACATTGTGTTGTTACAAAGGGGAACTCTGATAGCTGGCCATTCTGTTGCAACTTGCCAAGAACCCTACACGCTAATATAATGCTGCAGATTTACAAGGAATAGCAAAGCACTACTTCTCAGCCCAGGGAGTGATCCTTGCCTCCTCTACTAGGGTACATTATCTCTTACCTCTTTCTCTGCACTGCTCAGAAGCCTGTGAACCCCCTAAAGACTCAATGCAACATGATGCAGACACAATAATCCCCGATGAAAAGTTAGGAGCACCTGCCCACAATGAGATTACTAGATGCTGTGTTGGAAGCACAGCTGTGCCACCAAAACACGAGCCCCACACTGTGCAGGCTGTTACTCCAACAAGCCACACTGCATCAGTCCTCAAGAACCACCCAACGAAGGCTCAAGAGTTTACCCTGAGGTAAAATATAAACTCTTGTGCCATTATATGGTTCATTAATAGATGGTAAGGCACGGTTCTACCTTTATGTATCTACCCCTTCCTCCCTAATGGGATTACAAGGATTTAACAGGAATTGGCCTATTTTATTTTTTTTTTCATCTATGATTCAGTGTATTGCTTACATAGTTTGTGTACTGGGAAAACTGTACTAGTTCTCTAAAGTAAAAAAAGATTCAAGTAACAACACAGACTGTTATTAACTCACTGTTCATCATGGGAACCATGGAGTCAAACTGAATTTTCAGTTAAAGACAAAAATGAGGAAGCAAGAGTAAGAACCTAATAATATATTGCAGACTGTCAGTTATACACTGTAAAGAAGCATTCTATGATTCCATATTATTCTATGATTCTAAACATGTTTTAGCAGATGTTTACAGTAACTGCTTACAATATTACATCCCATACCCAAGTAAGAGTAAGTTTTGAAAGGGGAAAATATAAGATGGGGAATGAAAAGTCCTGATGGAAGAAAAGAAGCTTAAAAAACCCAAAATCAACCATCCAAAAACCAAAACCCTCACAGTTGGGTTAGGTTTTCTTGTTGTGTTTTTTAATAATAAAGTTGGAAACAAACAGAACCCCCAAATCCCTCCCAGCCACCCAAATCTAATGACAATAACAAACACAGTAAATCTCAAAACCAAACACCTGGCTTGGCACAGAAGTGCTGAGTTTGGATACTACAGTATCCACTGTTTTTATCTGAGGCTGCTCAGGGAAAACACTGCTCACACTGCACAAACCTTTTTGTTGCAGGTTTCCTTAAACATGGTGACCAAGGCTTTAATAAAAAGGGGGGGGGGGGGGGGGGATGTGGTGTGTGGAGAATAATGGCTTCAGACACCTAGTTAAGCGGCCTGTTTCCCAAAAGTGCTGGTGACCCAGGAGCTCCTATTCACTTCAAAGAGTAGGATTTAGGGATGTTTGTTGCTTTAAGATTTATGGTCTCCCTACATCCTAACTGAGAGATGCAAGAAATTACAACTAGTAGCTCATCTCCATTAAAATTAGAAGGCATGCTAGACTGATTTGTGGCATCTATTTCAGGGGCTAACACGTTCATGTCTTCACAGACCCTGCTGGAGAAATAAGTAGTGTAAAGAAATGAGGATTTCCCAGGGAAAGCTTTGCTAAGGGGCAATAGGACACCTCACCACAAAATCCACAAGCTGACAGAAACAGCAGCACATGAGAGATAGGAGAGGATGAGGGCTGTTTCTGCCTTCGGGCTAGTACCAAATGAACAAAATGTTATTCAGCTTACTGCTCTGACTATATTCCTGTCAGGCCGCCAGATAAACACAATTTTGTAAAAACGGAATCACAAGCTGGGCAATAACAGCCCAAGACAGCATGTGGAAATTCATAGCTAAACAAACTAATACTATCAGGAGCAAAAACCTTGATGTATATGGCATGGGGCAGAATTCTTATCATGTAACAAAGCTGTTGTACAGCCAAGCTGACAGACCAAACACACAAAGCCTATACAAAACTCCTAACATTTGGATAGTGATGTCCACTGGGATTTTGGGGATTGGCAAACTCACAAAATAAATGTGTTATTTCACGCAAGGCAGGATTGTTCCCCGGGCTTCCTGAAAGCACGATGTGCTTCACCCATGAAACTTTTGGAGGG